CATTTCAACGCAGACTTTAGGGTACTTAAGCTCAGTATATCTGGCTAATTTTTTGCATGCTCCTAGGTCAATGGCTTGACCTTTAGGGAAAACTGTCGGTTACACTCAAAGCCCTCGACGAGGGCTAAAAAGTGACCGCGAGTGAAATTCTCTTTATATGAGCTCTATTACGAAAAAAAATTTCCTCCGACGACCCCCCTTGATATTTTGTGAGGTGGTAGAAGAACACCTAGGGGTTTCATAAAAAACTCGGCAATTCTGGGAAAACTTCGTAAAGCGGTCAAAACTGACCAGTTGTATTTCCCTATATAATCTTTGTATTTTATGGGAAAAACAGGGAAATTTTAACACAATTTTTAGGTTACTTAATGTCTGTACATCATGCTAAGTTTTTGCATACACTACTATAGATGACTAGGCCGTATGGAAAAACTGTTGGTCAGACTCAAAGCCCTCGACGAGGGCTAAAAGATGATCTTGAGTGAAATTCTCCTTATATGAGATATATATATATATATATATATATATATATATATATATATAAATAAACTGACGAACGATCCCCTTAATATTATGTGACGTCGTAGACCGACCATGGAGGGTAACAAAAAAACTTTATTCCCGTCGGAAACAGCCATTATAGTCGTTAAATATGTTCATATAACGTAATTTCTTATATAAGCAAACAATATAAGTAAACAATGACATACGTCATACGTTCAGTTTTCAAGGGAGGTAACGTTCTTAAAATTATTATTTTTCAAATAATTGTATACTATTTTAAACAGAAACAGAAAATGACGAAGTATAGCATTTGTTTTAGTACAAAATTAAGTTGTTAATTTAGTTAAGTATGCTAATTAAATAAATTAATTAATTTCAAAAGGCAATGTAATATAAACTATGAGATATACTGTTCATGAAACCTGTGTAGTTCTAATTCCATTTTAGTTATACATTGCGTACTTTCCAAAAATTCTCTACGAATCTGCATGTAAATGACTAACAAAAACATTTTTTCTAAAGTTAGCATTACTGTTTACATTAAACTTATTAAACTTATTAAAGCACTCCACACCCAATCCATCGCTAAATAATTAAGTATTCAAATTCTCAAATGCCTTTTAAAAACCTAAGCGAAGCTAGGCAGTATGCCTAGTATATATATATAGCTTAGTTGCAACAAAAAAAAACAAAACAAAAAAAAAAAACAAGTTGTGTTGGACGTTAATATACATAGAAAGGCATTTATTTTTTAAAAATGTACTTATCTTAATTAAGATGAAAACGTTGACTACAGCTAATTCCAAATGGAATGAATGGTTGGAACTTCGGGGGGGGGGGGGGGGGGGTGGAAAGGTGGAGACAATTGCGGAGCGTGTCGAGGTGGGGAGGGGGGGGGGGCTGCGATGCACTACAAAAGAGTCTCATCCGGTTTTGTATGACCACCCGGGACCGCGGTGACAAAAACGTTGTCCGTGTCTACAATTAGGGCGTAGGTTACGCCTTTATTTATGGCCTGATTCTCTCTTGGCCTGTTTAGGAATTCCTATAGTGTAACTAATACAGATGAGAGTGTGCATTGAGCTAGAGATGTTTCAGATATATTATAATGAATATACGAATAATTACTTTAAAGATGCCCCTACAGTGTATAAGAATAAATATGATCAAATTACTCGACGGATGTCCTTGAAAATGAGTATAACGAATATGCGCATATTACTTTAAAGATGCCCTTACAGTGCATGGGAATAACTTGGCAACAAGTACTCTAAACGATGCCCCTACACTATACTTAATAAATATCACACACATTTATTAAGGGAATATCATTGACTTCCATAGGACTACCCTTCACTAATGCCCGCTTTTTCTATATAAGTTTTGCTATACGGACAGTGTAATGTTAAAACGAGTGACAGACGATTGAGTGGTAAAAAAAAAATTTTGAGTGAGATCGCAAAACAAATGGAAAGTTACGATGACACCATGACACGACATATCGCAACAATTTTTAAATTACTTTTTTTTTTAAATTTAAAAAAAAAAAAGAATAAAAAAAAAATGTCCACCTCCGCTGGATGCCCCCCAGTGGTGGATGCCCGGGGCCTGCCCCCCCCCCCGCCCCCCTTCCCCTCTGCAAGCCACTGGATTGACCATTGGATTAAGTAGTACCCCCTACCCCGATGTATGGCATCCAAATAAGCGGATCTCAGGTTCTAAGGAAGCCGCTGTGAAAATCAGGACGTCCAACTGCAGACTACTGCCGGAGCGCCATCGGGCCTTTATTTAAAATTGATTGTGCCAGAAAACTTTGCGCAAAAGTGGAAGAATGCATAATTGACAAAAGGAAATAATTACTATTTTCTCACAATCGTCTAAGCTTGGCTATAGCCCTTCATTCTCAATTTTTTGGGTCCGGGAGTCGATATTTTAAAAGTGTATATGGCAGAAGGACTGTTCTCAACCTCTTAAAGTTTTTATGGAGATTGGACAAAAGACACATGGATGCACAAACAAATACAATACATGGTACATTTCTAAGAATTCATGAATTGGTATAATTTTAGATTTCTGAAAGTGTTTTGGCAAAGACCAGAGAAAAGTGAGAATCAGGACGTCCGACCGCACAATATTGCCGGAGCGCCGCCCTGCGATCGATATTTTAAGATCAATGTTTCTTCCAGACTTTTTTCTCCGGGGGAGGGGGGGGGGCGGGAGACATGAACACGGTCTGATATATATTGTGTATGATATAATGGGTGTCGACTTGGCCGTAGAGCCTTAGGTACGTCATCACATGCTGACGACTCTAATCTTCAACCATCATCGGTGCTGAACCATTCACCTTAAAGCAGTGGCGTAGCGAGTTCGGGTGACACCCGGTGCGGCACTTAATGGTGTCGCCCCCCCCCCCTCAGAGGCGTAGCGACACTTCCCGGGGACAAACTTTCAATTTTCGATTTGCACCCCCTCCCCTCAAATTTTCGATTTGCACCCTCCTTAAACTTTCGATTTGCACCCCCTCAAACTTTCGATTTGCACCTATTAAAAGACTATTTAACACTCGAATTATCATTTATCTCTATATATTTTGCTATTTTTTGCCTTGGTGTCACCCCCCTAAATGGTGTCACCCGATGCGGTCTGCATCCCCCGCCCCCTCTCGCTACGCCTTTGCCTTAAAGTAGTGTTTCTTTCAGACATTTTTTCATGAATTAGGGTCACTTCAAACTTTCATGGGGGGGGGGGGGAGGGGGTGGACTGGTTGATGTACATAGTTTCTATAAATTATATATATTTTTTAAAATTTCGTACGTGCTTTGCAGATGAAGTAGAGTTCGTCTGCTTCAGAGACATCGGCATATGAAGGAATTACGGTCAGCACTATGCCCAGCCGCTTTTGTGGCTTGGGTGGACTCATGGACATTCTACTGACGAACCTGAATTCGAGCTCGAGATTTTCGGGTTAGAAGGGCAGCTCTCAACCGCTAGGGCCACGCCCCCCCCCCCCACACACACATAATAGGTCCCCAAATTCAAACAAAGCAAGTATATTGAGACTGGCACCCTACGGAAAGGTTACATTTGTTATCTTCTGATGACTGCGGCACAGGACGATGAAGAACTGTGGTTGGCGACACATGCCCGTCAGGTATGACGGAAAAAGCAGTCGTAAGGCACCAATTTAGTGTTTCTTTCTGACGTTTTTCTCCGGAGAGTGGCGTGGGCACTTAAAACTTTCTGTGTAGGGGGGGGGGGGGGCTGGCGGTGCTAAAATTTTAATATTTTGCATGAGCTTTTGGTTTCTAATAAAAATTATTGAAATAAATAATATATTTATACTTCGATATTTTCAACATTATAATTTTTCCTCCCTACACTCAACTTGTCAAGGGGTCGTCCATAAATGACCTCACACTCTTAGGGGGGAGGGGTCCGTAATTTTGTAACGGTGTGTGATGAGGGGGAAGGGGGGAGTTCAGATGATGTGACGTCACTTTTTTGCATTATAAAAAAGCAATGTTAGAAAACGAATTTTAGCCGTTATTTTGCGTTTTAGAAAACGGTTTTTAATAAATTGTAATAGGAATTTATCAAAATACTCTATGTTGACAGAGTTCTGAGAAGATGTTGAAAAAATATCGATGTTTTAAGAAAAATTCAACAGCGATTTTGAGGGGGGGGGGGGGGGGTGTAGGCTGAGGTGTGACGTCATTTTTTTGGGGGGGTGGGGGCTCTGGCTTTTTGTGACGACGTGTGACGGAGGGGACGTCATTAATGGATGACCCCCCCCCCCCCCCCCCCAAAGATTCCACTTTGGAAATTTAGAATTAGGCCTAATAATAAACATTTAAATATTAAATCCGTATATCACTTAATAGTTACACAATACACGTTATTAAAATAGTAAATTGTTTGATCTAGTAAGATTTAAGACGTCTTAAAATTTACATGGATGTCCACATTAGGGGTGAGGAGAGTTTCGTTGAAAGAGGGCACTTTAGGGGGAGGGGGGGTGGCGGTAAGGGGAGGGAATCTAAAAAATTTGTGAGCATCATAAAATAAATGGATGACTTTTTATTCGGATGTTTTTAAACCTGCTGTGTTACTAGCATAAAAAAAAAAATAACACCCTTTTAATTTTTATCTTCATTGATAATAATAATAAATGAACCTTTTTTTTTCGTATGAAAATACTAGATCTAGATTTCTAGATCTAGATTTAGATCTAGACTTCTAGACGTGTTTTGAATAAATCAGTAACTCTTAGGTCATAGGGTCTAATTATTTTTAGGTTCTACAATATAGATCAAATAACCGATTAGAAAATATGATAAATCGAACCCCGAAGGGATTTAAATTATAATTTTAGGTCAAGAGGTCACTGACGTGGCAGAGAGATATTTTTATCATTGTTTTAGTCCTCTTGTCCCAGACATCATCAATTTTCTACTCTCATAGACTAGCACAATTATTACATCATTTCATTTTATATTTGCAGACATACCGGTTTTTTTTAAATTATATTCTAAGAAAGGGAGATCTAGATATCTAGCTAGTAGTTTGACAACAGTGTGCTGTATGCTGGAGTTAGGTAGCCAACACTCTGCTGTTAAAGAGGCCTAGCTGTTGTAACATAACTCTGCGTTACTTCCGGAAGGAAGCTGTTGTCTGCCTTACTTTCTAATACTACGTGGACTCGAGGTTTCACGGTGGTAAATAAAGCACGGCAAAATGCCTAAACAAAATGAATTAATCGACAAAGCTGAAGATGTTGCTGATCAGGTAGTAGTCTAATTGTTAAACTAACTAGTCAGTCAGTCTCAGTTTTTGTTAGATTCTAGACTATTCATTTTATCATATGTACGCAATTTTGAATCTCAATCGTGACAGATTTTGGCTTTCGGATTTCTTTGGGGAGGTTGAAGAGATTTTCTTGTTTGGTTTTTTTTAAATTTATTTAGACTAGGCCTCATATTTAGCCTGTTTCATTTTTAAAAAATGATAGTTGAGTCAGATTTAGATCTAGATCTGTCAGTTAAAACTTAAACATTTTAAACATTAAGGGTATGTAGTATGTGGAACTTATTGGCAATGGACACCAGCGAGAAAAGTCTCAAAGGTATTTGAGAGGTGTATAAATTCATTTAAAAATCTTGCACGGCGTAGTTACAATTAATATGGTTATAAAATCTTGTCTGTCTGGTTTTTTTCGGACTTTACTAAAGATTGGATGTATTTGATGTTTTTAATATTTTCGGTAACTAAATAAAAATTAAAAAAAAAGAAAAAACAATTTGGTTTTCACGTGTAATGGCGACATAAACAATGGCCGACATAAATTTTATTGTACACATTGTAAGCTAAAAATAGAAACAATAGGTCATGGTGTTTAAATTTGCATAGTTATTTAAAAATTTGATCTGCAAAGTTTTGTAAACAAAATAACTATAAAGTGGGGCTGTCAGAAATCGATCACGGAGTTCCTTTACAGCCAATCAATGTTTGTCTTACGAAAGTGAAACATCGGGTTATAACTTAGGCTTGATGAAAATAAATAGAAATGTAGCCTTAAACTCAACAAATTATTTTCAAGTTCTCTGGATCTGCAACTTGTATGGCATTGATTCTAAAAATATTACATTTCTGAATTAATTTTAGGCTTAAGTTTTTAATAAAATTTTATCTTTTATTAGTTTTATGGTCCTAAATCTAAAAAAGCACATTTTTATTCCATGTCAACAATATTACGGAAGGAATCTCGTCAACTCGCTGGTGTCCATTGGTTGAATGACATGTCTGTCACATATTTAATATTTATTATTTAATATTTACTTTTATTTAGGCCTATTGGTAGACTAATGAAAATGAGTAGGCTATAGGCCTACTATAAACTATAATAGATAAAATTGTTCTTAACTTTTTGGAGGTACCAAACCCCACCAGTTTCATAATGCGCATTCACCGAACCCTACTTATTTTACTTAATACTCATGCGCACAGACAAAATTCAATATTGATATTGATTCATGTGTCTATCTTGACCACTGAGACTGACGTACCAAACCTAAGGGGTTTGATTGAACTCAGGTTAATAACCCCTGTTCTACACGCTAGGTCAAGTTTAGCTCGTCCTATTTACTCGTTTCCTCATTCATCAAATATTTAATTGGAATAAAAAAGAAAGGATGATTCTATTGTAAAACACTTTCACAAATAACGCCCTGATTACTAATAATTAAATTGCAGCAATTGTAGCCTAATAATAAATATCCTACATGTACATGCTATATTTTATCATCTATTTCTCACATTATTAAAATGACAACAGCATCAAACCAGAACTTGTTTAGTCTTTTGTATTTTATCAGTTCTTAATTTTTGAAAATGTTCTATCTTTCAGGTCTTGCGTTACTCCAAGCATGTTCTTCCCCATTTAGCCAGGTTCTGTCTCATAAGCACATTTTTGGAGGATGGCATTCGAATGTGGACTCAGTGGAATGAGCAGAGAGATTATATGAATGTATCTTGGTCTTGTGGGGCTTTTCTAGCCACCATGTTTGTTATCACAAATTTGCTTGGTCAGATAGTTGGATGCGTTATGGTCCTTAGCCGCCAGAAAGTACCTATTGCTTGTGGTATTCTTTTTGGAATAATTGCTTTACAGGTACTATTTACATAATTATACAGCCATTATTTTAGGTCAAGTAGCATTTGGATTAAAATTATCACGCAAAAGCTAATTCCATGAGTAGAAAAATTGTAGTCAAGTATTGTATTTTAGTTACAGAAATTAATTACCCATATTTAATTGTGAAGTATGACAGTAAAAAAACAATACTTAAAAGTTTGCAGCTGTACATTATATAATACAGTTATTGTTTAAGTACAATCAAAATTACATGTTTAATTATTTTATTATTTTCCCCAGACTGTTGCCTACAGTATAATTTGGGATATCAAATTTTTAATGAGGTATGTTTTTCTTTCACTATAATATATTTGTATTATAATTTAAAATATTTTGAAATCAAGTTATTTATGCTCTTTATGATAAAATATCACTAGCTAGACTGTTCTAAACACATTTTCAAACATACAGTTGTAACTTATTAAATTGCTATAGCGTCAGCTGATTTTGGTGCTTACCATTTATTTTAAAATATTCTTTTAGGAATCTGGCTTTAGCAGGTGGTGTACTGCTGCTGCTAGCTGAAAATAAAGCTGAAGGAAAATCATTATTTGCTGGACTTCCTTCACTAGGAGAGAATAATCCAAAGCAGTACATGCAGCTGAGTGGAAGAATTCTCTTGGTCCTTATGTTTCTCACACTTTTACGTTTTGAAATGTCTGTTATGCAGGTAAAGAAAAATGATAACAGTCTGTTTTTTTTAGTTTGCCTATCACATTTTGCAAAAATTATGCATTTTACTGGAATGATGAATTAATAGCAATGGAAAAAAAATTGTCTTTAAAAAAAGTTTTTTGCAGCTGTTAATTGTCTTTGAGATGCAGAAAAAAAGTGGTGAATTGCAAGCTTTCTTTCAATTTCAGATTATTCAGAACTTGATAGGAACAACTCTGATCATCTGCATTGCCATTGGTTTCAAAACAAAACTCTCTGCCCTCGTTTTGGTACTCTGGTTGACATGTCTCAATGTTTACTTCAATGCCTGGTGGAACATTCCAGACTATAGACCCATGCGTGACTTCCTTAAGTATGACTTCTTCCAGACTATGTCAGTTATCGGCGGTCTCCTTCTAGTGGTAGCATTTGGACCTGGAGGTGTAAGCATGGATGAACATAAAAAGAAATGGTAACATAGATCATTTAATGAAGCTCACATACTAGGAACACTTATATAAATATCAATAGCATGATAAAGTATTTTTAGTTTACATTTTAAAGTAAAAAAATTGATTTACAAAAATCAAATTTTTAACTTTGTAACTTTACTGTTGTTATGAAGATAAACTAAGAGGAAATTGTTAAACTTTACACGAATAATGTATAACTGCATTACAGAGAGAATGACAAAAATACCAACCCACATTTTTTGAACAGATGAAATGTTTTAATCTTTAATTGTTTGGCAGTTTGCCATCTTCAAAAATGTATAGAAGTCGTTAAAATATGTCTGTGTGGTTTTAGCTGTTTAAAACATCTGTAGTTTCTTGTAATTTTTATTAAAATGTATTTTTTTTAAATAGCCACATTGGTTCCCTGTTATAATGTTAAGTCTTTTACCTTTAATTTATTATCTTCTCTGATAACACAAGTAATTTTTCTCTCATTGTAATCTACCGTGAACATTGGTTCTACTAGACTAGATTTCATTTTAGTACAAAACCCTTTTCACACACCTGAAATGAACATTAAAACCAGGGTGAAATCTAATACAAAGATTATTATTGAAGTTGTTACATAAAGTGGGTTTTGATTTAATGAATTCATCAAGAGTAAATACTTTGTTAGTTTGTGTATTTCTGCTGATATATTTTGCTATAACTTCATTTAGTCAAATTTCTTTATTTAACTGATACAAATTTTGTTACTTTATTCTGTTGTCCTTGTGATGAATTGCATCAATTAAGTTGGTTTAAATAGTTATATTATACATTTCATTAATTGAATAAAAAATAATCTTTGAACATACATTCTTTTAAACAGTTTTTTTTATTACTGTGCTTGTTTACTCAGAAAAGTAATTCGGAGATGCAATAGTAATTTTACCAGTATATACTATTGAAATGGGCTGTGATTTTATAACAAGTAGCTTAAATAGCCTGGTAATTTTCTTATCACACTGACATTAACATATTGCATCTTGTTTTATTAATTTATAATCTGGTTATGGTTTTAAACAAACCTCACCAGTTGTATTCTTGCTTTGGTAAACCAACAGCGGTTTCTACAAATAGCTGGTGTTAAATTTAATAATCATGGTCAGATTAAAAACAAAAAATCCAGTCATATAACTTATTTATTTTTTTATTCTGCAGTAAATCATGATGTATAGTAAAAAACTTATTTAAACTGGAGTGATGTTAATATCAACTGCTTGATTTTAATTTGTCATTGAAATCACATGGGTGATCAGCTTCTTTGAGATTTACATAAAGTTTCATTTTGAATTCTGAAACTTTTGATACAAGGCTTTAAAAACCTAACGGCTTTAGAACTGCTTTGCAATCCGTTGTAAATGCATGTACACATAAGATTATAATTTCAGAAGTCTATTATTATTTATATTTAAAAAAAATTAAAGTGGTAATACCTGAAAAAAGTTTTTCTGATATTAAGTTTTTTTTTAGTTTATTTCTCCCACTTTGTTTCATATAAGCTTTTTCATAGTTCTTTTGTTTCTTTCCTCAATTTGTTTTTCATTTTATACCTACTCCATATATATATATATAACACTTTGTTAACCATGACAAAAGACAAAAATTAACCTAATTACATTGTGAATTTCTATATTGCTGATGTGGATTAATTTTGGCTTCCTTGAAAAAAATTAAATGTTGTATGCGTTATCTGTCTATATGTATATATGTTTATAGTATATTCAAAAGTTTGCTAATGGTGTTAGGAAACAAATGTAGTATTAAATGACTGATTGCATGTTTTGACTTTGTACATATATAACTTGTTATTAAACTGGACCTAGGTATACCATATACCTAGGTCAACTTTGTTACGTTTTCACCTTTCACTGTTTTGTTGTTTTTATGTTTAGTTAATGCTTTTTAACAATTGATTTCTTCCTCCCTTGCCTGAAAGTTGCTATCCCCCTTGCATCAATAAATAACTGATAAAATTTTTTTGTAGGAATGTTTTGTGATGTGTGCCACATTTTTTTACACTAATATGTTAAAGACAAATAAAATTACCTTTTTTTTCTATACTGTTTCATCCCTGTAAGTTTGGTGGTTTGTGTACTTTGTTGACTTAAATATTTTTCTTACCTCAATTTAGTGTAGGGTGGTGGCTGTCAGTAAGATATGACAGAAGTGTTTCATTTTTGTTATAAATGTGGTAGCATTTACAATATTAAAAAATGGTGCTAGTTAGTGAAGTAAACATTCAGATTTCATCAGTTGTCTTGTTGAGTTGTAAGGTAACCTGATGGATAATTTTTTTTTTAAACTGGAAAAGGTAACACCTTACTAACGATGTTGAGTTTTTTGTATTATTTTAACAGTGTATGCATGAGGCCATATCAGTGATTTAATACCTGCAGAAGCTAATAATTTTTTCTTGTGCCAAACAGAAATGTTTTTTACTTCCCAGATAAAACAGTTATATACTTTGCAGTGGATTTAGCTTATAAGCAGACTTTTTTATTTTAAAACATTTTCACAAGCACGTGCATCTAATCCATCACTTGATAATGGAGTATCATATCATTATTTACATTTATTAAATGATTTACTGCTCATCTAAAAAGTGTTTTATTTTTTTTAAAGATACACACTCTTTTCAGCATAGTTTTGACTGTAACTTCATATATTTTAATTTACTAGTTTAACCACATCATACAAATTCTTATCCAGCTTGTGCTAATGGGAATTCTTCATATGATATAAGACATGGAAGATTTTACTTTCTAATTTTATTTTTAAAAAAACTAATTCACTTTGTCAGGAGTCAATAATGAAAAAGAGCGCCTAATTTATGACTTACAGTTCATGCCCAACAAATGGCCAGTATCATTGAGGCATATTGGACTCTGGGCAGTCCAAAAATCCCCAGATAAAAAGTGACTTGTACAAGGCCTTTTAATTCTAGTCTGTTTGGATTTTGTATTACTATTTGCCAACTAGTTGGTGGAATAAATGCTTAGAAATGGTGTACCTTCACTGGAATACTTCAAGCTATTGATATACTAAAAACTTAAGTGGTAGTGGTCTGAGCATTCCTTGTTTGTATGGTATAATTACAGCAAGATTGTTCTATACCATAACCACCATTGGCTTAATAATTCATTGTATTTTTTTCCTTTGCTATGGCTACTTTCTAAATCTTTATTTAGATGTTTTGTTTAGAATATCTAGAGTACTTCCTTCGCAAACTGTCTTTTTTGATGATTGAATAAAGTTAAAATGATTACTTGATCTTTCAATTTTTTATTATAGTTATAGTGTCTAATCAGATACATTTTTTTTTGTTTTACTTTTAAAATTTAAATGAATTTTTTTTTTTTTAAAGTAACAATTTTTTCACTATTTATATAAAAAGTATACAAAAAATGATCCTTGCAGACATGCAAGAATGAAAGCCCTGCCTAGGCATACTTTTATATTACATGGTTCCATTGGATTTTAGGGATTGACAACCAAAAAGGGACTCTGGGTCAATTACAGCATTCATGAAATTAGTAGTGTAGTAAATATTCTTAAGCATAATGAACTGGATGCTAGCATGTGAAAAATATATACTTTACCTGCATTACGACATTTTCCGGGGCTGTTACTGAAAAGTATATGTTTCTAATATTACGAGCCGACCCGCGGCATATCATACGCCGCTATTTAGTTGATTTATTTTCTACTTTTCAGTAATTCATAATTTGTGAATTCGACAGTACCAAACACTGTCAGTAGCTCATTAAGGACAATAACCCCCCTCCTTTCCCCAACCCCTTACCCCCCCCCCCCCCCCCCCCGTGAAAGCAGCCTCCTCTTAGTTACCGCCCCTAAGTTTAAAATAGTTTCAAACAAAATTATCTGCCCCTAATAACCATCACTAAACCCGGCTCTACGATTGTAAACATTTAGCGTGAACCACAGCTCACCAGACCATGTAGGGGTGGGGGCGGTAGGGAGCGCGCTTACAGCTTGTTTTCTAGGGTCTCCAAGAAGAGAATTGTATGTATAGATAGATGTTTTCTATACTATATTAATTCCATTTCGTTCAAAGGGCAAAGCCCCCCCCCTTCCCCCCCCCCCCCCCCCCCCCCCCCCCCCGAAGAGATACCCAGAAGAAACTTTTTTTTAAACTAAGGGGAGGTAACAAACTATGCTTGATATTTTTATTGTCTGTAAACTGTCGTCATGGACGGCTGCGTTATCGGGGGGGGGGGGGGATGGAAGGGAGGGTGAGGATAATCGTCCTTCACGAGTAACTGATAGTGTTTTAAAGCAAAATATTTTCAGTTGCAGATTTGGTAGTGTTGAATTCACAAATTATGAATTACTGAAAAGTAGAGAGAGAATAAAACAACTAAATAGCGGCGTATGCTAAGCTGCGGTTCGGCTTGTAAAAATTATAATTAGAAGTTTGGCCTAAAATGCCGAAGTTTCTGGCTAATCTGGCCACTCGGGAAAAATCTAGTGTAAACATTGAAACAATAATAAATAAATTTTTCAGACTAAACTATTTTTTTTTTAAATACTCCTTAATAGTAATACTAGATCTACTATATCTAGGTCTAATGAAAACTATTTGTATTAGATCTAGATCTAGTACTCCCACTTCTAGACCTTATTTGGAATTATTTTAACTAGATCTAGATTTAAATCTAGAATAGCTAGAATCTAGATCTAGATCTGAGATTTAGATCAGCTCAGCTAGTCTGAGCTAGAGTATAGTTATAGAGTTCTTCTAGATCTAGCATCTAGAAGTTCTAGATCTAGTCTAGATTTAGATTTACTGATTTAGATTTCTAGATTTTAGCGTGTAACGTATTTAAAAAATTGGTGGGTTTTTTTTTATAAAGCTGGATCAATTCCTTTAAAGTATTTAGTCTATTTACTACACCTGACCAAACAACGTAATTTGAGTAATCCCAAATCGGTAATCTATCGTTTTGGGTACGTAAAATCGCCCGCGACTAGTAATGTGAAAAACAGGTGACTCCTTACATTTTAATAATTATTTCACATTTTGAGGAGGATTTATGTTTTAAAAATACAAAAATGTTTCCTTGTTTCATTTATGTACCTGTTTTTAAACAATTGAATTAAAACTTTTCAGTAATACATAACACCAGCGATGTTTCCAACAGATGCAACCATGCTCATTTACTATAGCAGCCATCTTGTTAAAGTTTTATTTTTATAGACTTATAGCGAAGATTCAGGCGGAAGTCACTCTATTTTACAAATGGCTGCTGTTTATATAGCAAATCTTGCTTGCAGACACTGCTGTTTAAAGTTAATTTCTGGCATATATTGATATATTTAGCCATTGATTTAGGTTTATTACTCATTTATCTATAATATTTGACACAAACATATCACAATATACTTCTATTACAGCTTTGACAATGAGGTAACGTTTTCGCACATTAATAGCCGCGGGCGATTTTACGTACCCAAAACGATAGATTACCCCCAAATCAATAATGATAATCTGATAGAAAATCCAATTGCCATGTTAAATTATAAATTAAAAATTAAAAAGTACAGTAGGTCTACTTGAACTGATACTCATACTGTGATACTGATACATGTTTATTACAATTCAGAAAAAAAACCTTTTAAAAACAGTGAAGAAACAACTAAAATTCAGTCTCTTAACACAACTTTTTAAAATGTGTGTCATTAATCTTATTATCACACTTACTGAACCCCTCTTCAAACAAAAACATGATCACAAATCTGGACCCATAGTTGTGTGATGCTTTTGAATGACCCCTAATTAAAAGTAACTATTTCTCTTTAGATTAAACAATTTATTGGGCGGATGAAGTAGTGTTCATATGTTTCTTGACCTCGGCATTTGAAGGCAAGGTGTGGTCAGCACTATGCCCAGCTACCTTTACTTTCCCTAACATGAGTTAGGTACCCATCATAGTTGTGTGGACTCAGGCACATTCAACTGACTTAAACCCGGATTTGAATTCGAGTCTTTTGGGTTATCTCTCAGCGCTCTATTGCTAGGCCACGCCATCCCTATGACCTTTAATTGCTTATCCATTATTTCTATTTTATATACTGTTCTTAAAAGAATATTTTAAGTTGGCTAGAATAATTCAAATAAGAAACCTAATCTCAATTGATATATTTGTCTAATTTTTAAATTGGAATCATGCATTTTGAAACTGATCTAAATCATTGAACCATTAATATTTTCTATTTAGCAACTGACAAAAATTAGCTCAACCAGCTGTCGTTGATATTTACTGCCATGGGAGGCTTCTGGCCCAGTGGGGTTAATGTTAATAAGCCTGTTGTCTTTGGGATAATAGTCTCTATAGCAGCAATTTACTTTATTTACAGGTAGGCTACAGCAAAAACATTAAACCACACACAAAATAAACTGCATAACTTTAGTTTATATGCCTCATATATGAATATCAAACTGCAAATAAAAGTGTTGAAATCATTCTGTATGTTTGGGACATTGCCTGAGAGTTTAATTAAATGACCTAATCATACATATCTGACTGCCTTGCTGTGTGGAAATATGTTATTGCCTCATTTTTTTTTTTTTAAAAAGACACTTTTTTGATTATATCTAAAAAGATTTTTTTTTTAGATAATTCTAAAAGGTATACAGTCCTAACTTCGATTTAGCATTTTAAAACATAATTTTTGTGATAAATTTTCTTGTGCCAATTTATTTCAGCAGATATGCCACAACAACAACAGTAGAAGCAGATATTATCACATCTGAACGTACAATGCCAGCGTTGGATAAGGCTGCTGTGAGAGATTTACGAAGTGAGGCTAAACTGGTAAATGTGACTGTCAGAAACAAAGTAGGTTTTTCTTATGTTTAATGTTTAGCAAATTTAGCTTAGTTACGTATATAAAAATTCTTACTTCATTTGTAAAACCTTAAATAGCAAGCGCTGTGAGGATTTTTTCTTGTATTGGTATATATGTGGGTGGTGGAATTTTGAGAATATTCCATAATATAGGTCTACATACGTAAATTCTACTACTTATTCCTTTACACTTTTTAAGGAGAGAAGAGCCAGTATTTGAATCTACATTGGCTAATTTCCTCCTGTAAATTGGCTAATTTCCTCCTTCTTGACAGATTAAATTTGATGTTCCTTTTTCTCTTGTGGGTTCCAACTTGAATACTTGAAGTTGTTGTTAAAGTGTTGTTTTTCTTAAGAGTGTCCATAATATTTTACTTTTCTTTCAATTATTCTTATTTTTTAAAAAATGTTATTTAATTTAAATAAATCTACCATTGGCTTATATTTTGAAATTGTATCTTTACTGAACCCTGTAAATTAAAAGTAAATTAAAGTAATGAAATCAGTTTTTACCTGATGGTCAAGAGTGCAGGTAAAGTAGAGTTCACCAGTTTTCCTCACCTCAGCATAAAAAATGAAGTACCCATTAGAGTTATGTGGTCTCAGGGATTGTGTTCTATAACTCTGAGCCCAAGACTTGAAGATGAGACTTTTGGTTTAGAAGTTTGGGGGGGGGGGGGGGGGGGGGGGTTTAGTTTTGATGTTCACTAGTACCTGTAAAAAGGAACCCCCCCCTCTTCCCCTAGTGCTAAATAGTGTTACGCAGCCACTTACAAGTATTGCAGTTTTTGTTTATCCTCTTCTATTCATCAGCTTTTGAGGGTCTATGTAGTGCAGGTTATGAAAAACTTGGGAAAAGCCAAACTGGATGTTCTGTTTCTTCATGGTCAGAAATTTTCTTCTGAAGACTGGATACGAAATGGATCTTTAAATCATGTGGCCAACTGGGGTTACAGATCAGTGGCCATAGATTTACCAGGTGAAATAAGCATTTTTTACTGAAACATTCTTTATAAATAGCAATTTTATCAGATTATACATAATTTTTTACTATACATCTAATCGAATAAGAAATTTTAGTTTGTGGCTACTACATGTATCTTTACTATAGATACACCTTTTTTGTATTTGCTAAAGGGTTTGACAAATTCTAAAGCATAATAAAAGTTTGATATGGCTAAAATAGTTTAATATGTTTGTTTACTTTTGATTTTTATAGTTGTTTAAATTAAATGTTGAATTGATGAACTAAAAATTTAATGCAATGTTTATTTATACATTTAGGACATGGCAAGACTACAGATACTATTGATGAATTAGTTGTTGATGAGTTTCTGAAAGCTTTGGTTTCCAGCTTGAAAATGAAAGAAAATGTTGTTATAATTGCCCCATCTGCCAGTGGTAGATATGCTCTGCCGTACTTGTTCAATAAACCAGAGACAAGCACAGACAGAGCCAAAGGATTTGTGCCTATAACCCCAGTGGGCACAAACAAATATGTTGATAAATTTCCAGCAAGTCAGGTATATCTTATATAACTAGATTCTTCTGAATAGATCAATATTTGAATGCTTGAACCAATGTTTATTGAAATTTGGCATAGGTCATTAGCATAACCTTTAGCCACCTCATAAAATTTATTGCCATGAAAATAGAAACAGTTTTTTTTATATTTCTAAAATTTTATAGAGGCTATGCTAGTCTTAGATGTTTTCTTTAATATAGGGACCATTTGAGTTTAGCATTTTTTTTACCAGCTTTGTTTTTTTTTTTTTTAATTTTCTTGGAAGTGTGGAGAAAGAATTGCAGGGTTTGCTGGGGGTATTTTGTTTGTGTTTAACAAAATACTGTTTGTGGAATAGATTTTCATCTTATATAATATGAATTTTTATTTATTTTTGCTCTTAGATTCCAACATTAATAGTTTATGGTACAGATGATAAACAAGGAAAAGAAGTTGCTGAAGATTTGAAAAAGCTGCCTAAAAGTGAGACATCACCAATCGAAGGTGCAGGCCATGCATGCTACCTTAATAAACCAGACGAGTTCCATAATGCTTTATATAACTTTTTGATAAAGTTATCTTCATGAGTTATCATCCCATGTTATTTTGCCTGATGTTGAAAATTGCAAAAGATTTTTTTTATTGGTGAAATTATTTCATATCTTTTTTAATTATCTGATTTCCAGGAATTTTTCTGAGGGGAAAGCAATATCTGGATACTTAAACTTATTGCATTTTTCTTGTTATATTTTTTAATGACTTATGATATTGTTATTTAGTCCAAATCTGTTAATACATGAATATTTGTGCTCATCTTTTAAAATTGAAATATTATATTTTGAAGAACTTTTCTAAATTTGATGCTTTCACTGAGGATGCTTATATAGTTGCTTATTTTTAGACACAGTAATATTTCATAAGATTTACTATTTCAACCTGGAAATAACTGAAAATACATTATCCTTTTCCTAGAAAATAAATAATTTTCAAGTACAGAACATTAACATAATCTGAAATTAAAAACGTCATTGCCTAGCCAAAGTTAAAACAACAAATAGTTGAATAACAGAAACCAAAGAAACCAATAAACAAAATTGCAGTATGGTGCAATTAAAATTTGCTTATTTGAAAGTTCTATTTATTTTGTCTTTCAACAAGGTAAAAAAATTTGATAATCTGCTTTGCACATTTCAGATAATTTATGCTTGATTTTGTGCAGTCTACTCGGTTCACATGCACTAAGCTACTGCTTGTTAACATAGTTTATATTTTATATTTATGATGTATATACAAAAATGTAAAATATGTATATTATGTTAATCTGCCAATTACTTGACTTATTTATTCAATGTTGCATGTTTTTATCACTGGATATTATGACTTTATGGATTAATTTTGCTTAGGAATATAATTATTTGTATTGAATTCACAACCATATGTTTTGTGGTATTATTTATTATTAAAATTTAGATTATTTTTTTCCATTTTACTGATTTTCAAGCTGAACTTTGTTATTAACCTACCGGCATTTAATAATTTCTAACCTGATTATTTTATTTTAAATCATCTTGCCTGTTGATGACAAAGATATTTTAAATGTCTTATAAAAAAACATTATGAAAAATGGTTTTTAAAATATTGCATTGGTGTTTGTTGTTTACGTCTTCAGAAAAAAGTGATTAGACCTATTAATTAAGCAAACTAATGCTGACACTTACATATTGAACTCTTGAGTTTGGTGATTAATTGCTTACCATCTAAACCAGGGGTCTCCAAACTTTTCAGTCCGAGGGCCGCATTAACTATCAAATTTCTGTTCGGGGGCCAGTTTCTTCCAGACATGTCTTTGATTTTTCTGAGCAAAGTTCCTCAGCCATCACCAACAAACGTTTTTTCCGTGGACAAAAAGATCTCAGCGGGCCGGACGAGAGGACCTCGCGGGCCGTAGTTTGGAGACCCCTGATCTAAACCATGATTACTTATTTCATCCAATATTCTACATTCATCATTGTCATCATTTGCAGTTCCTACCCAAGACACATGGACAGATGAAGTAGAGTTTATCTGTTTCAATGGCGTCTGCATACAAGGAGATATTGTGGTGAGCAGTATGCCCAGCCGCGTTTGTTTCCCTAACTTGAGTAGTTACCCATAAAAGCTAGTAAGACTCAAAGACGTCTTAGAGTCCAGGATCTGAGCTCAAGACTTCCATGTTGGCAGACTTTAGCTTTAACGCATCCCATATATTCTACATTAGTTTTATAACAAAGTTTCAGACGAGGAGTTAAATTCCTCTCTGACACTGGTAAAAAGAGGTTTATAAAATGGGCTAGCACACATGTGGAATTAATGATCACCATGTTTAAATTTTCTGGATTAGTGGGATGCTTGCTTTCTTATTATCTGCTCTTCCCCCCCCCCTCTACTACTTTAATAGAATATTAGACTGACAAATATAGCTTCAAATTCAAGACTCCTGCTTTAACACATTTAAGTAGTGTTAAAATCGATCCTTATGGATGGAGTGGCCTAGATGGAGAGGTAGGCTGCTAACCCGTATGTCTCATGTTCAAATCTGGGTTCAAGCAAATAGACTGTTCCTTAGTCAACCCAGCTCTGATGGGTACCTAACTCATGTTAGGGAAAGTAAAGGTGGCTGGGCATAGTACTGACCACACTGTCCATTCATATGCTGAGGTCACAGAAACAGGTGACTACTTCCCTTGCCCCATAGACAGTCAGGTTTGGAAGGAAACTTTGTTACTTAATATGGATCCAGTTTCCTGTTTGTAAAGTTTAACTGAATAAACACCCAGGTTAAATTTAATAGATCAGCATGTAATTGTAAGACAATTATAAATACTTTTCAGATGGTGTTCCCAGTTTTAAATTTGGATAATCTTGCTGTCTTACTACACTTACACACTAACAATATATTTAATTGAATGTTAACATTTTTTGTATCTATCCAAATCTAAGTGGGTTGGGGTGATGTCTTTTTTGTTTTGTTATATGGGATAGGGTTTAGTATAGACTACTATAGACCTATGTCAATTAACATTGCATTTGATTATCTTTACTCCTAAATTTACTAAATGTTTTTTTTTTCCATTAGAATGGTCTGATGCATTTCAAACCTCAAAAATTATTAATTAAGGCTTAGGCCTAACAACTAACAACTTGTGTAATTAGTGATTTTCCTAAAATTTACATGGTTTTGCATTCATTTTTAAAAAGTCAAATTTTTGTATTAAATGCAAACAATACTTTATAAAATGAATACATATAATCAGTGGCATAGCGAGGTCGGGTGTCACCCGGTGCGGCACTTAATGGTGTCACCCCCCCCAGAGGCATAGAGAATCTTCCCAGGGACAAACTTTCAAATTTTCGATTTGCACCCCCTCCCCCTCAAACTTTCGATTTGCACCCCCCCCCCCTCAAGTTTTCCATTTGCACCCCCCCTCAAGTTTTCCATTTGCACCCCCCCCCCCCTTAAACTTTCCATTTGCACCCCCCCTCGAGTTTTTCTCTATATATTTTGCTATTTTTTGCCTTGGTGTCACCCCCCTAAATGGTGTCACCCGGTGCGGTCCGCACCCCCGCCCCCCCCCCTCGCTACGCCCCTGCATACAATTGTTTATTGCAAAATTCATTATCCCATAGTGTCATTCACACTAAGCCACCGTACCGTTACTAAAAGATGCGGACTTCATGATTAAAAACGAAAAATATAAATTGTTTTTAAATATCAGGGACAGTAATTGTGTAATATTAAAAGTACTTATAATTTATGTTACTTCCCTTGATGTCAGCAAAAAAATAATTAGCCAACTAAAAACATGAATACATTATTTTAACCCTTAACTATCTGATACTTTCCATTAAGACTAATAGTATAGAATCTCTAGATCTAGATAATCATATTGTATTTGGAGTTGACAGATCTAGACTCTAGGCCTACTCGCTGATTAAGCTAGTTTATAAACAAATAAACATCGATAAAAACATTCTTTTTAAAATCCTTGTGTTGATTTATTTCAAATTATGGAAACAAAACCTACGAAGTAGACAGAAATTTAGTTCTAAATCTCTTGTAATTTGTTAATTTTTTTTTAATTAATAGTACAATAACAGAACAAATATTTAAATATATCAAAGTGAGCTACAAAGATGAAGTTAAAGAAAGATAGATAAAGATAGATAATTCTCTTTACTTTCTTGTTGGCGCGCAAGTCGATCTCTATGACATGCGCATGTTATTGTTAAAAGTTATCGCAAAATAAATGAATGACAATTTTATCTTTTCATCATAAGTTCAACATAACAGCATCATCGAACCAAAACGTTATTATTTTTACGGAGAATGACAAGATTGACGCATTTTTTTCTGGTAAGCCAGCTACTCTACTTTCTAGATTTAACTGTAAGATCTGTAATACTAGATTCTACTAGACTAGATCTAGACTAGAATCTAAAATTAGCCAATATATTCTGTTTATTCTATTGTCACTATTTAAAAAGTATTTTAGGCCTAACTATTAAACTAATCTAAGACTATAGCTTGCAGATCTAGATCTAGATCTAGATCTAGATTTTAGATCTAGAAATCTCAGTAGCTAGCTAGCTAGACATCAGATAGACTGGCCTTTTTTAAAGTACTAAATTAAAAATTAACTAAACTAGGCTAGACTCAAGAGTAGTCAAGAGTCAAGTACCGTCCTACATTGACTAGATTCTAGATCTAGCTTCTATCTAGCTAGTTAGTAGTAGTTAGCTAGATCTATCTATATTCTACTTGTCAGTGGCGTAGCGAGATCGGGTGTCACCCGGTGCGGCACTTAATGGTGTCACCCCCCCCCCCCCCCCCCCCCCCCAGAGGCATAGAGACCCTTCCCAGGGACAAACTTTCAAATTTTCGATTTGCACCCCCCCCCCTCAAACTTTCGATTTGCACCCCCCTTGAGTTTTTCTCTATATATTTTGCTATTTTTTGCCTTGGTGTCACCCCCCTAAATGGTGTCAACCCGGTGCGGTCCGCACCCCTCGCTACGCCCCTGCTACTTGTTATTTGAAGATTCTATAAATTAAATTAGTGACTCTGCTAGATTTATAATTGTTTATGAGGCAAATTTAGACTAATTATAATAAATAATAATTATTAAGTATTAGTAATTAAGTAAGGGCTTACTTCCACAGAGAGGAGGGTGGACACTGGTCAAAGTGTATGTTTTTAGATCTAGATCTAGATATCTATATCAAATATATTTTTTCTATTCTGTTGTGGAGGGGGGAGGGGAGGATGCAACATGGGCATGTAAACATCTAAAATAAAAAAAAAAATACTAAAAATAATAATTAAATAAATTGAACTATTAATATGACTTTACAAAGGTGTTTGAATGGTAGAGCGCTCTACTGCTAACCTGGAGACTCTAGTTTGGATCCCAGATTTGGGTCTGTAAAATATCTGAGTCCACCCTGATCTGATGGGTACCTGACTAACATCTGGGAAAGTATAGTGGCTGTTCACAGTGCTGACCACACTTTCTTTTATGCAGAGGTCACAGAAACAGGTGTAGTGCTTATACATGTATGTATAAATATAAACACACTATACATGTGTAGAGGTGTAAATAAAAATAATCTAGAGGTGTAAATAAAAATAATCTTAAGGCCTGTATCCCCAACTTCTTTTCCCACTTGGGGGGGGGGGGTGGTTTCCAGTTTAACATTTGGATTATGGTGTTACCATTCTCTCTTCTCAGAGTGTGCCCAATCCATCCTTATTTGTGGCCTTTAATATCCCTGTCTATTGGCAGTTATTTGACATTTTTGCTGGCTGTTTTATCTTTAAGATTCATCACACACATCTATTTGTCAAGGACTGTTAATATTGTACCCCTCCAGTCATTTGTTCCATAAAGCAGTACTGCCTTGACATTTGTGTTGAAGATTCTTATCTTTCTCCAGGATGACAAGCTGTGCAAATCCATATGAGGTGTAGATAATCACACTTTTAAAATGTTAATCTAACAGCTGTTTTTCTACAAGACAAATTTATTTTTTAAAAATAATTAAACATTTTTTATTAATTTGTCTTGTAGAACATCTGTTAGATTTACATTAAAAATAAAAACAGAATTTATTTTATCTTGATAAACTAAAACATTAAACACGGTCATTAGACATAATGTAGGCTTGTACTCTGGCATTGAAATAAAAGGCACATATTAAGCAAAATATTCAGCAGCATTGGGTAACAAAAACAAAAATGAATTAGTCCATGTGTTACCAAGTCTGTCACTCATCAAGTCCACAGCTGTGATGCTGTTGTGACATCAGGGCCTGTAGCACATGGCAGCAGGGCATGCCACAGATAGATTTCATTGTTACAACTTAAAGTGTGTTGGGGTTGCATATTGTTATACTCTATTATTTTAGGAATGTTTAGGCTTAGTATAATGCTATTCAGACCTACATATCCATGAGTTTGGGTGGTAGAGTTCACTACTGGTCACCTTAAAGTCTCGAGTTAGGTTCCGAGTTTCTTTCAGGCCCCCCGCCCCCTGTAAAAAATCTGAAAGAAGCATTGTTTAGGTTTCTGGGAGCCAACCAAGCTCTGATGATTATATAACTT